TCCGCCGGGCCTGGCCCATGTGGGGCGACTGTGGGTGCGGGGGGTCGGCGGAGGGGCGGCCCTGCGTGTGCGGTACTGGGGGGGGGGCGGCCGGGGACCCTTCTGCGACTGGTTCACCTGGCCTCTGTGCTTGCCTTCTCTCCCCTCCCGTCCCCACCCTGGCCCGCAGCTCCGTGCCCGGGACCCTGCCAGCCGAGGAGACAGGTATATGCTGGTCACTTTCGAAGAGCCGCCCTATGCTATCAAGGTAACAGCCCTCGCCCTCCCCCTCCCTCCCTCCCTCCCTCCCCTGCTCTCTTCCTAGCTCGCCCTCCCCGCCCCCCTCTCCATTATGCTCCCCTCCCCCCACCGCCGCTCCCGCCTCCAGGTCCCTTCCCCTGCGGCCTCCCACCCCTCCCCAGCCCCGGGAGCGCCGGCGTGGTGGCGGTTTCTGGCCCACCGCCGTCCCCTCCCGGTCCGGCTCGGCCTGGCGGCGGAGGCGCTACGATCAACATGGCCGACATTTCCCCTCCGCGGCGTGAGCGGCAGCAATGAACTGTGGGGGATATTTATTCAAGTTAGCCCGAGTGACAGCCGGGCCCAGCCTTGCCTAGCCCGGGTTTGCATTAAAAGGGAGTCAGCCAAAGCTGGCAAGGGAAGCCCAGGAGGGGGGCTTCGAGACTTGGTCATCACAAGAGTGGAACTAGGAAGGCCACCGATTGGTGGGACAGCTGTGGTCAACTTAAGAAGTCCTGCTGCCATCTGCCTTCCACTAGTACCTTCGCAACACCCACCCCTTACACACAATTTGGAGGATGTTATGTTAGCACATTTCCCAGGGAAGTTATTAAAGTATTAAGATTGTTGTTACTTACCAAAGGGTGTCAGGCAAGCAGGTTCGTTCTTGACCACCTTTGGAAGAGTTTCCTTTCCTCACCAGAGACGACAGTTACCCAAGCCATATCAACCAAAAGTGAAGTTAACAAACCCGAAGTGGCATACCTGCTTGGTGGACATCACATTATAATCGGTGTCCATGTGTGTTCGTGGCTTCAAATGATAAAAAAAAAATTCTCACATCTTTCTTTTCAGGCTGGATGGAAGGAAAATCATGCAACGTTTATGAATGAACTGAAAAACCTTCAGGCAGAAGGACTTACGACTCTTGGCCAATCCCTAAGGACAGCTTTTGATTTGTTAAATTTAAATAGATTAGTAACTGGCATAGACAACTATGGGCAGGTAGGTTGAATACTAAGATAGAAAAGAGTTGTTTTTATTTATGTGTATAAAAACACAATCCAGTCAAAAAATATGCAACGTGGAATGGAAAGTATAAAACATAACGAGGTTGAAATACAGTGTGCACACAGTTATAAACACCTAAGGTGTATAATTTTTATATCCCTCATTTCCCCCTTTAAATGTATTTGCATTCAGAATTTGGATTTAAATTCTTCGCTAGAAAGTTGACCTGAATTTGGTTTCAGTCCCTCAAAAGTTCATAAAAGACATAAAAGGGAAGGTATACAACAGTCTGAAGCTCTGTTACCTGTAGGCACATAGGCAACTCTTGCAATGGATCACAGCTATTGGTTGAAGTAGCAGTTGCTTCTATATTAGTAAAGATATTAGAGGAAATGACTGTTAGATTAGGATTTATCCTAACCCACATTGTATATTGGGAAGGTAAGATTTGTCAGGAGTGCAGTAATTGGTTGACTATATTCAGATATCTCTTGAAGCATATACAATTAGAAGTTACTGCAGTAGCAAGTCTGAAATTAATGGCAGATTCAGAATTCTTAAAGTTTAAAATTTCCAAACCCTTGGGAAAATGCTTTCTGTGAAACATGAAAGTTTGCCTGTCTTCCTGAAGCTCCCCCAAAGTCCCTCTCATCTGTGAGGATGAGGCAAGAGCTTTAAATCACAACAATCATTCACTAAGGAAATGTGAGGTGATCCATTATAAATATTGCTATCCTAGAAATACAAGATACCAAAGAATATGTAGTGCTACACACAAGGAGTAATATCACACCCAAGGAATTCCGTATGCAAAGCACTATTACCATAATGCTACATTTAGGAATATATATTGTATACTTTTCCCAAGTTTCATAATGCACAGTTCTCATGAATTTTGAACATTTCAAGGCAGTTCTTCCTGTGACTTCACAAGCTATATGCCTCATTTGGGGGATAACTCTGAAACATTTAACCATCTTTAGAAATGGTTGAATTTAGTGCTCAAGCATTTAAAGTATGCATTACAAACCAGACTTTCCTGAAAAGCATTTTCATCCTTTAATTAGTAAATATTTTAACACATTAAGTTTTTTGTTTTTGTTTTTTTTTGTTTTTTTTTTTTTTTTGGCTAATGCTTTGCCACTTGGTCTGTTTGTTTCTGTAAAAGTATCTTACTCCTTTGTTGTATGTAGTACTGTTTTCTATTATCGTTTAAGATTTTAATCAAACTTTGCCGAGTTAAAGACACATTTGAAACTTCCTATTAAGTTCCTTTATTTTGTTGTCAGGTTATGTGTTGTAGAGCTATCAATTTCTGATTTTTCTGTGTTACATTTCTTAAGAGGGAAGGGCATTTGGATACATCCACCTTCAACTACATAGTTAAAACAGCAAAAAGTCCTTTAGGAGAGTTCCAGGGCACTTGTGTACTTACTCTCTAGGAAGTTTAAAGTTGAAGGCAGGGCTTTTGTGTTTTGAGATGTTCTTACTGACTAGGGTTTATTAACTTGCAACAAGGAATGATAATGCCTTTCAGTCATTTGAGTGAATCCGCTAGGATTCAGGAAGCAATGTTAATGGTTTTTACTTATATCCTGAATTTGCACATAATGCAACTAGCTTTAAAATAATTAAGAAACTACAATTTCTCAATAAATGGAACACTTTTGAGTAAATTTTACTTGGAAGAAGACATGCTTCTGGATTTTTCATCATAAAACCATTTTTCTATATTTAAATATTCTATAATTCCTATTTATACAAAAGTTACCAGAATTTTGGATGATTGAAAATACTTAATACTAAATATCATTTGGATATTTGGAAAAGAATTTGTAGGATCTGTAACCTTAATATTTTTGTACTTACGTATTTCATGCTGAATAATAGGAATACTGGATATAGTCTCAGTTGAAGGAAATGAGAAGAGGTGGGTTAGCTGGAAGACATGTTAGTCTATAGAGCATCTATACATCTTAATATAGTTTTATTTTCTTAAAAATTTATTTCTTATATATATATAAATTACTTTCCTAAATAAGGGTTAAATGTACATGTATTTATTGATATATTTACATTAATAACCTTTTCCTGTATACATATAGACACATAGGTGATTTTATATAATCAATTGCAAGAACACTAGTTTCCATATTGCGTTTATTAATTTGGCATTCTTAATTAGGTAGGATACTTAGAATTGTAAGGTTAAAATAGCTGAGCAGAAAAGATTTTTAAATGATTTTCTCAAGCACCTTTGGCTATTCCACTAACAAATTGTCTGCCTATGTAGAAGATCCTTTTAAATATTTGGTAACCAGTACCATTTGCTGATACTTTTACAGTTGTAGATGAGTGTGAACCATGAGTGTGAACCTTCAGTCACCCCTTCTCTTTAAAAGCAGCATCTTATTAAATTGCTTATTGCAGATAAACTTGCAAGTTTTCGTCCACATGTTAATAGTTTCAAATTATGTTGATCCTTTGAGAATCTGAAAAGGAGCTCAAGTAGATAAGATTAAGAATGTAAGACACATTGGACAGTTTTATTATATAAATTGACATGTTTTTATATTCTTTGTTTTTTTGTTCTTTTTCCTCAATGTTTGTAGCATTTTTTTAAAAAAAGATTTATTTACTATGTATACAGTGTTCTGTCTGCGTGAATGCCTTCCTGCAGGCCAGAAGAGGGCACCAGATCTCATTACAGAAGGTTGTGAGCCACCATGTGGTTGCTGGAAATTGAACTCTGGGATTTCTGGAAAAGGAGCCAGTGTGCTCTTAACCCCTGAGCCATCTCTCCAGCCCAGCATTTTTTTTTTTTTAAGTTAGGTTTAGCTGCTGAATCTGACTCTGGCCTGCACATCATGATTGTTTCCATTGGTCTGACTATTTCATTCTTCAATATAGTAGCACTGATTGGATTGTTTAGAATGGTGCCTGACCTACTGTGCATTTTAAAAAGAAAAATATTTATTGCTTTGAGGATTTTAAATGAAAGTATTTACCCCATTTGACAATGATGGCTTTGGTGTGAGATGAGTTGGATGTTCTGTTTTTTGAGCTGACCTTACTATAGCCATTGCTTGCCTTGAACTCAACTGTATAGACTGGCCAGCCTTGCACTTCTGAGTGTTGGGATTACAAGCCTCCACCACCATGCTTGACCAGGCTTTTCTTCTAATGCTATTTAGTGAATTAGTAAAAAGTTGGTTCCTATTTGAGTTTTTGGTTTTTCTTTCCCCTTAGATTATCAACAAGTTCTTCGGTATTTATTAAGCTATTAATAACCTTTTCAAGTGAAAGGAGATTACTATTTGCCTGTATACTGCCTGTACTACAGTGCTGAAATGTGACCTGAAACAATAGTTAGTCTTTGTGTGGTGTTGGATATGAAACCCAGATCCTTGTGCATGCTAGACAAAGGTCCTACTACAGAGGTACACCCTTTGTCGATTGCACTGTTGTGAAAATTGTAAGTCCCTTAATTAAAATAAGTTTTATTTAAAAAGATTTAATGACATTTGTGTGGGGGGAGGTGTAGCATGCCATAATACATGGGTAAAATTAGAGGGTAACGTGAGAGTGGTTTTATCCTCCCACCATGCTGGTCCTGTGCTCAAATTCAGGTACTTAGGTTTGGTGGCACATGCCTTTCTTTGCTGAGTCATCTTTCCATCCATAAGTCCCTTAATTAAAAAAAAAGTTAAGATGTAGAAAACAAAATTTCCCATCTTCATCATTTTTAAGTGTGCAGTTCTATCATTTTTAAGTGTGCAGTTCTATGGTATTAGGTATATTCACATTTTTATAAAAGCAGTACCTAGAAAAATAAAACTATTAATAACTCCCAATTTCCTACATTCCCTTGAGGATGCTTTTTCTACTTCCTGCCTTTTTTTTTTTTTATTGTTAGACTACTGTGCATTCCTTATCACATAACATAGATGAACCCTCCATCTGTGGGCTTGCTAATCCATGGACTCAGCCAACCACAGATCAGAACTATCGGAACAAATCCTGCATCTGTACTGAACTTGTTTCTATGTCACTGTCCACTGAATACAACTCTTTACATAGCATTAAGATTGCATTAGGTAGGTCTGGAGAGATGGCTCAGAGGTTTAAGAGCTGGCTGCTCTTCCAGAGGTCCCGAGTTCAATTCCCAGCAACTACATGGTCGCTCACAGTAATCTATAATGAGATCTGGTGCCCTCTTCTGGCATGCAGGCAGAACACTGTATACATAATAAATAAATCTAAAAAAAAAAATTGCATTAGGTATTTTAAATAACCTAGAGATGATGTAAAAAAGTACATAAGAGGTTATGTTTAGGTTATAGAGAAACACTCTATTTTATATAGAGTGCTTGAGAATCTGGATTTTGGTATCTTTTAGGGACAACCAGGAACCAATTTTTTGTGGATACTGAAGGGATGAGTGTGGGTTTTTTTTTTTTTTTTTTTTTTTGTTTTGTTTTGTTTTGTTTTGTTTGTTTTTTTTCAAGACAGGGTTTCTCTTTGTAACAGCTCTGGTTTTCCTGGAATTCTCTTTGTAGACTCACAGAGATCCACCTGCCTCTGCCCTGCCTCCCTAGTGCTGGGATTAAAGCCATGTGCCACCACCACCTGGTTAAATTTATTTTAGTTATGTGAATGCTTTCGCCTGTACATATATATATCTGTGCGCCACATGCATGCCTGGTACCTGAAGAAGTGGTGAGCCTCCATGTAGCGGCTGGGAATCAAACCAGGGTACTTTGCAAGAACAAGTTCTCTTAACCACTGAGCCAATTCTCCAGCCCATGTTTGTTGTTTTATGACTAAGGATTATTTGCCTAATCCTTAAGGTTCATCCACCTTGTAGTGTGTAGAATTTTGTCAGAATTTTCTTGACTATCAGGAATAATACTGTAATTAATATATGTAGGTAAGCATCTCTTTAAGACTGCTTTCATTTCTTTAGGATGTAAATGTTGAAATAGAATAGTAAA